GAAGCTATCACAGTGCACTAAAAGCCGTGGCTTAGAGGGTTGCCACCTGACGGGATAAGTCGGGCCGAGCAGTCAGTCCAGTGTGTGTCTTTTTGTATGGAGTGGCTGACTGGCAAACCGAGAGTCAGGCTGAAATGGCTCCTTCTTAACGTGGCCTCTATGGCATTCCTGCGTATGCCGGAGCCTACCTTTTAAGGTGTTGCTGTGGCGCATATTGGAGTGTTGGCCGCGCCAGCCGCCTGCGTCCTCCCCATCTCTGGTCTCCTCGGATTTTGTCTTGACACCGGGTACAGGTGCGGGAGTGGGGGGAGAGTGGGGTAGATTCTGCGAGTCTTCTTTCACTGAAATCCAGTTTGACTTACCGCGTTTGCTTTCAGTTGGCTGAAGCTCGCAGTTGACACCGCTGAAAACGATGGTCGAACTGTCGTATCGAGGTCCGGGCTGCTGGCGCAGGCAGCCGTGGCCGTTGGCGCGTTCAGGGCGTGGGTTGAAAGTTTTGTCACGCCCGACAACTATGGGAGTAAGCTAAAGTTGTGGTTGTCTATCCGGTGTCCCCCTCTCCAGTGCCACTCCATCAGTCGACGGTTGCGACAACCGTGATAATCTGCGAGCTGACGGCTAACACACAACCATCTCTCAGGCTTGAAATTAGCTGAGACACGGCTGTGCTCACACCTGGACCTAGCTAACGCGCTTCGGCCAGCGTGGGCTGTCACGCTTAATCCCTTGAGAAGAAGAAGACTCGATCGCTGGGACAATATGTTTAATCGCCTGACGTTTCGATATCCGTCGCGGATTCGTCATCAGAGACAGGAGTAGCAGCTGGTTGTCCCAGCGATCAAGTCTTCTTCTTCTCAATTGCTTCCTGGGACATGGATATTCGCTTGTATTGGCTTAATCCCTTGTTAACATGCCCCCGATGAGGGAGGAGCAGCAGCTACTGTGGCTGCCGCTGTGACTGAGAGCACGAGTGGGGTTGTTGTTGTTGTTGGGGGGGGGAGGTTAGGGATTGTGCTCTAAGCTGTCAGCGGTTTGGTTTCGTAATTGGGTTTTGGAACTAGGGGCTAGGTTTTTGTTGTAGTTGGTAGTAGGATCTGACTTGTTGGGGTGATATTTGGACGTTACGTTTAAGATCAGGTGCTAGAATTATGGTTTAGGATTCGTTTTCAAGTTTACGTTTAGGTTTAGCACTAGGTTCAGAAAAAGGCTTGTACTAAGGTTTCGGGTTTGAGTTTAGTTTAGGAATGGAGTTATGGTTTAGGGTTTCAGGGTCAGATTTAGGATTGCGATGGGTGGGTGTACGATGACAATACGGGCGAAATTGGTAGCTTCTTTTTGGCATTGCTACTGAAAAAGGTTTCGGTAGGCATGTTGATGTTCATTAAAAAATGAATTTGCAGGAGATAAGGGCACGAGGGTGCGGCTCCTTTCCATAGCCAATTTCCTAGATTGGGCTGCGGACTCCGGCTTGTTCTTGCATGTCCCATGTGCCCCGCCAGCACAACGCATATAACCACTCGTTTCCCGTTTTTGCTAGTAACACTTCCTGATTATCTGACTCGTTGCTGACCCGTTGCCCTTTTTTAACATCGAAACTTTCGCGTTCCCCTAGTGAACAGGCATCGCATCTACCACTTATTGCTTCCTTCTTAAGCTGTTTGCTTTTATGGGCTTACCAATAGTGTTTGTGACGAAGAAGCTAATAGTCGCTATGAGCAATTTTCGGTACCAGTAAGTACCTAAAAGAGCAAACACAATTTAAAAAACCAAGAAGGGTTCGATATGGGAGTAGCCTTGATTAATCAAAACGCCTAATTTTTCGTCCGCTATGCCTTACCTGCGTCTATGCGAATGGATAAGTTGTATTAGGACGAAAAACACCGGTAAATACACAGCAGCTATCAGCGTTACCACCAGCCATCGACATGCGTAAATAATTGACCGAGATAGCAAAGAAAATAGGAGGATTTTGGACATACAGCCATATGATATACAAGTACAAATCTGGCTTGCTGTACCTGAATAAAGGTAGCAATAGGGAGGGAGAAGCGCAGTACGCAGTACAGCAATCTAACAAATACTGCAAATTCAGGATGACGGGAGTGAGAATTTTTAGACCCTCGCATGACTTATTTCAACTTTTAATTAAAAATAAAATGTAGAGGAGCCGTTCATATTTTAATGCAGTCTTAAAATCTAAGGGTTGAGGCGGGATAATTGATATAGCGCATCACTTCGCGCTTAGGCAAATTCACTCGGAGAAAATATTTTAACCCGTGTCTTCATTAAATCTCAGAAGACCAGTGAAACATTTCCACGTTATGTTCATCGTAAAACCAGTTTGACTCCTTTATCGTAAATTGAATTAAAGCCGGGGCCTTGCTAACATGTTTTTTTAGTGCGCGTCGCGTTCGATCTTCTCCTCATGTAACCCGAAATTATGTGTCAACTTTAAAGCCGTGGACTTTCCCATATAGTGAATCTCCGCATATGTGTGCAGATTTGACTCAAATATTCCGTCATTTGATTCCGTTTAAATGAGAACTGAAAAACAATGTAGAAACTTTTTCTAAATTTTGACTAAAGTCTAATTGGCGCTGTCAGTCCCAAATCACAGGAGCCTAGTCACACATAAATTATAGTGCTCTTTCTGCTTTAAAATTTTACGAAAGCATGGAACACGACAGGTATGTAGAACCTATCCATCAAATCGCCTTCTCAACTTTCGCCAACCTCATGAAACAAAATATACAGTATGGCCTAGAATTCGTGTAACATGTCGACATATGGGAAAGATTGATACTCTTTCGGCATTGAGTAAGATTATAATACTGATTATCATGAAGTCTATCCCGAAGCCATCTGAGTCACGATAGGATACCGTCTTTTTTTTCTGACCGCTAACAAAACGTATGCACTGTAAAAAGTGGCTACTAAAGTAATATGTATTTCCATTACTGTTTTTGACTGCCCTTATAGGTTCAAATATATTTATGGAAAAATTATACGAAAAATATTTTTCTTGTACCCATTTGGCAGCAAATTACGGCTCCTTTAAATTTTATACTTGAAGAAAATGTATCTTTCGGCTTAAAAAAGTTTCTAATTATGAGCTTTTTTACGATTGTGAAGTGGTCATTCATACGACATCGTATCAGTAAATTTTTTAATGCTGCCTAACGCGTATACAGCATTTTTCATATCTGTTGCAATATTTTATGAGAAATATGTGACTTCTTACTCAAAGTGTAGGCGAAAACGTAATGTTCCTTAAACAGTATGTTCACAGCGCGCACTTTGTAAAGCTTGAATTCAATTGTAGCAGTCAGTAGGCTTCAAAATCATTCGGCAATTTAGAAACGTTTTTAAAACCGAAAGATGCCCTCTCTTTATATATGAAATTTAAAGAAGCTGTAATTTGCTACCAAAAAAGTACAAGAAATAACTTTTTTCGTTTATGTTTTCCATAAAATATATTTGAATTTATAAAGACAGTCAAAATGAATGATAAAAATGTATACTACTTAAGTAGCCACTTTTTACAGTACATACGTTTTCTCTAGCAGTCAGAATGAAGCTCTCTGAAAAGCCGGCGTCCTGTTGTGATTGAAATGACTTCAGAGTAGACTACCCGGTAATCAGTATTACAACTTTACTCAATGCCGATTAGCAAGATAGTGTCAATCTTTCGCATATGTCGGCATGGTACACGAATTCTAGGCCGTACTGTAATTTAAGATAAATGTCCTTTCCTTGGTAAAGTCCGAAGCCAGACGCTTAACTCAGCGCAATCGAGATGACCTGCGTGAGGATGCAATGTTCGCACTTGTGCCCATAACCTCTTAAAGACGCACAGTTGACCTGCCTCCGGAGATTCATTCAAGTTCTCATACAATTCCTTTTGCCCGACGGCATGGACCTATTCAAGACAGCTTTTAGCTTGCTCGGGAATTCTGGCACTTTGTCTACACTTCTGCAGCCCCGGCCTACTGGAGGAGGACAAATGCCAAGGAGGTATTAATATCCTTCACCTTTTATATATTCGCGGCCAGTTTATAGCTTATGCTACATAAGCATCGGGTTGAGACTCCCAA